AACCAGCTGCTTTCTACACTGGCTGCAATATTCAGTTATATGGAACTTTTTAAAACAATATTGAAATTAAGAAAAAGTGGAGAGTGATGTAGTGATGACAACTTTGGATAGCCTTGTATTTGTTTCTGTAGTACAACACTTTTGTTGTAGCTGTAATAAGATCAAAGGAAACTGTAAATAAGCTAGGATTTGTCTTTGTGGAACTAATAATAAGAAAAACGTGGTTGTTTAAAATACGAAACCCTGAAGGCTGAAAAAGGAGTCCGGCTGCTGAATTTTTGGGCTGGCTCCTCAAGCCAGGGCAAATCTGGCATGGCCTGTACTAAGAAAGGAACCTACAGTCTTTTAAAATTTGAGCTGATTCTGTGTGTATTGGTGGATTTGCCTTGAGGAGCAAATCGAAGGACTTTAATTGAGCTGCGGAGTTTGCCACCCACCTGCTTTGTTGTAGCAAGTACCAACTAGATCTCCAAGCCAGCATCCACATGGTCACCCTCTTCTGTACCATGTTCACAACCACTGCTGAAGGGTGCACATGGATGGGGTGTGGATTTATTTATTTAAAACTTTTAGGCTGCCTTTCCACCCAATTCAAGTGACAAACATTAAAACATTTCAGGCAACAAAACACATTTAAAGGAGAGAGAGAGAATTAGAGATGTGAAGGCCCGGAAAAAACCCAGAAAAAGCCTTTTTTGTTTTTTCCCGAAAAATTGGAAAAATTGAAAAAAGAAAAGAAAAGAAATTGATTATGGAACGTTTTATTTTAACATGATGAATAAAATATTTTAAGACAAGGTGTTCAAATATTTTCCAAATCATTTCTAATATATATATATATATATGGTATCTCTAATTTCTGTGCACTGAGGACAAGCAAGTCCTAGGTTACAAACTGAACTCTCCAATGCAAGAACAAGATGCATTTCTTCCTTTAGGAGGTGCGATTGTAAGAAGAAAGTAAAAAAGTTTCAGTTTGGTTTTTGCATGTGGTTGGGTATTCTGTTTGTAATAATTGTTTGGATACACTATATTTTTAATATGCTAGTTGTGATAATTTCATGCCAAGTAAAAATGCCCATAGTCATTTTTTATGTTCCTAAAGTAACAGAATGACTTTCAATCTAGAAAAGACAAAAGAAATGCTAATGTAGATTTTTTTTCCCAATTTTTCCGAAAATTTCCGTTTTCCCCCGAAAACCCCCGGAAAAAACCCGGGTTTTTTTCCGAGCTTCAAAATTTCCAGAAATGTTACATCTTTAGAGAGAATATATATAAACACGTAAAGTTATAAAATACAAACATGGAGGAGGCCAGTGAGAGTTAGTGAGGGAAGATGATAGACAGAGAGACTAGTCTTCCTGGGGAGGGACTTACAGTGTTTTAATGCCACAACCAAGAAGGCACTTTCTCAGGTTATTGCCCATCTAGCCTCAGATGGCCGGAGTGCCCGAAGTAGGGTCTCTGAAGGTGACCACCAAGTGGCTGGGTAAATTCATATGGGAATGGGTGGTCTTAAGCTATGCTGGTGTAGGGCTTTAAAGGTCAGTGCCAGCACCTTGAATTGGCCCTGGAAGGAAATGGGGACCCAGTGCAGACGGAAAAAGACTGGAGCGATATGGTCCCTACAGCCCAATTCAGTCTGCATTCTGGCTGTAGCATTTTGTACCACTTGTAGCTGCCCCTCATAGAGTACATTGCAGTGATCTAGATGTTACCTTCATAGAGCTAGGAGTAAAAATGAGTCTGCTGTGTTGCCACCATCGGAGAGAAGCGGGACAGGGTGGACAATCACCCTGTCGGCTAGGCAAGGCCATGTTTCTCACTATTTCACATCTGTTGAATTTGCCTGCCTTTCCTTCAGTCTGTTGTCTCTTGCTAGTGAACATTCAGCTGTGATATCTTTGGGGCAGTGGCCTGGGGCGTTGGTATTTTTCTTTTGCTTAAGTCATTCTGCAAAAGCACAGTCTCCATTGCCACTGCTGAACAGCAACAGTGGTCCACAGTCTTCCTGAAATACCAAGCAGGCTGGAGTGCGGGCTCAGTCAATAATGGGATTGGCTATTTGGCTGATGAGAGAGAGAGAGACAGAAAAAGACTTTGTCCAACTATCAGTTATTCATCAGATATTTTTAAAGCATTCACACTTATTAGAACAGCAAAAGAAAGTTGCTTCAGATACGGACAGGTTTATGCTAATTGCAAAAACAAGTTTGATAACTGTTTTGAAACAATGCCATTTTTGTAGGATTGTAATGAATTTTAACAGATAAGGTTTCTATAGATTTCAACGATTCACTGAACAGTTCTTTTTGGCTTTGATCCTGGAACAGCAGCCACAGTCTATAGCTACAATATAATGAAAGTAAAACAAACAAAATAGCAGTAACTACCAAAGAAACTCCCCAAAACCCAATTACTCCAGTTTTTAAAGGCAGTTGAACTAAGCAGGTAGTGTCCTGTTTTCAGATGTCTGCAGATACAGCTGGTGGTCAGGAGGAGAGGCTTTGCTGTGTATATAGGTTTGCCTCAGTGGCTGCAAGACTAGGGGGGCAAGCTGGCCCTGCTCCACCCCCTGCTCACATAAGGCCAGAAACAACCATTTACGAAGAGGAGAAGGGTTGGTTTTTATACCCCATTTTTCACTACCCTAAGGAGTCTCAAAACAGCTAACAATCAATTTCCCTTTCTTTTCCCATAACAGGCACCTTGTGAAACACCAAGTAATTTTCTTTTTAAGTATTTGAAGGGCTGTCACTTAGAGGAGGGCAGGGAGCTGTTCCTGTTGGCAGCAGAGGGTAGGACTCGCAAGACTGGGTTTAAATTAAGGGTGGGAAGGTACCGGCTGGATATTAGGAAAATCTTTTGTACATTAAGAGTTGTCCAACAGTCGAATCAGCTGCCTAAGGGTTGTGAGCTCCCCCTTATTGGCAATCTTTAAGCAGCGGCTGGACAAACACTAGTCAGGGATGCTTTGGGCTGATCCTGCATTGAGCAGGAAGTATGGCCCCTTCCAACTCTGTGATTCTATGATTCTATGAGGTAGTGGTTCTGAGTGAACTGTGGCTGGCCCAAGGTCACCCAACAGGCTTTGTGTGGAGGAGTAGCTCAAGATAGGTAGCTGTGTTAGTCTGTCTGTAGCAGTAGAAAATAGCAAAAGTCCAGTAGCACCTTAAAGACTAACAAAATATGTGGCAGGGTATCTGAAGAAGTGAGCAGTGACTCACAAAAGTTCATACCCTGCCATATGTTTTGTTAGTCTTTATGGTGCCACTGGACTCTTGCTCTTTTCTACCACAGAGGAGTAGGGAATCAAACACACTTTTCCAGATTAGAGTCTGCCGCTCTTAACCACTATACCACTCTGGCTGCCAGCTACATACTGGCTTCCTTAACTCATGGAATGTTTGACTGCAGTCAGTCAGTTGACTTGTATATCAAACTGAGAACACAGGATTGCGTCCAAGCCAGTTGGGCTTCTTTTGCAATACAACCTGAGCCTTTGCTGGCTGCTGCTGGCAGACTGAAAAGCTTTTCAGTTGCTAGATTGGACCTGAGTCTCCATGAAACATCAGTTTGCATTTGAAAACAAAAAACTGGATTATGGTGTGACCTGCAGTGGTCCATGGAACCCCTCTATCCAAGTCCTCTGCTGTTGTTAATTGAGAGCCGGTGTAGTGTGGTGTTTAAGAGTGGGGACTGTAATCTGGAGAAGTGGGTCTGATTCCCCACTCCTCCTCCATAGGAAGCCTGCTGGGTGAACCTCGGCCAGTCGCAGTTCTCTCAGAACTCTCTCAGCCCACCTGCCTCACAAGGTTTCTGTTGTGGGGAGAGGAGGGGAAGGCGATTATAAGCCCCTTGGGGACTCCGTAAGTTAAAGTAAAGGTAAAGGTTCCCTTGCTTGAAAGCCAGTCGAATCCGACTCTAGGGTTGCGGTGCTCATCTCCGTTTCAAAGCCGAAGAGCCAGCGCTGTCCGAAGACGTTTCCGTCGTCATGTGGCCGGCATGACTAAACACCAAGGCGCACGGAACGCTGTTACCTTCCCACCGAAGTGGTACCTATTGATCTTGCAATTTCTTGCTTTCGAACTGCTAGGTTGGCAGGAGCTGGAACTAGAGACGGGAGCGGCACACTCGGGTCTCGAACTGCTGAACTACCGACCTTCCACAGCCTGCAGTTCAGCATCTTAACCACTTGACCCACTGCACCATAAGTTAAAGCGGGGTATAAAAACCTACTGTTCTTCTTCATTATCCTGTTATCTTCCCCCTGCCCAATAATTCACTTCTGTAGTCCAAAAGAAAAATATGCAGTCGTCCAGATGCATGTTTCCCATCTGGCTCTTGGTGATTTTCCTTCTTGTTTACATAGTCAAGCTCTCTGGAGAAGTTTGCAGCTGTCCTTGCATTGCATGATTTGAGCACCAGTTTGTTGGTAAAGCTGCAGCACTGATTCGGCCTCCAGCCCTGTCTCACTGTGTGTGGCTCTTTGGGAATCATTCTCTCTCATCCTCAGTTCCCCATCTGTAACAGGGAGTTGTGGAGATCAGCAGTGGCAGTGATACTGTTCACTCTGTAGGTTGCAAAAAAAAATAAAAAAAAAAAATCCCTGCTCCCTCCCATCTCCCTCAATTAAATATGCTGAAGAAGTCCAGCAGTAGGAGGAATGTAGGGTGATGGATGGGGCTGCAGAAATCTTAGGTGTCTAACAACTTGATGCAGACTCTTAGGAATTGGAAATGCTTTCCCAGCACTAGTGACAGACAGCCTGGTCTTGGCAGGACTTCATTAGGAGTAATATGGTTAACCTAGCATAACACATGCCAAATGAAGTATATACTAAAGATGGGAAGAATGGAGAGGAGCAGATGATGAAGCCGTGAGAAGCAAAAAAACAGCAAATCTAGAACTGTCGAATTTTGCTGTGTGGGCACAACTGCTGTTCTGTTCTGTTTTGTTTTTAAACTCCCCTTCTGCCTGCTTTTCATCTGGTCCATCAGGGTGAAGACTGTGGGTACAGATTTCCTTAACCTGTGAAATCCTGTTCGACCTCCAAACTGGCGATGTCAAGGGTACCGAGTCCACCTCCTCCGGCAGAAATGTCAAGTGGACCTGTTGCTGAGAGCTGGTGTTACACTCAAGTAAGTCTGTAACGGGTTTCTTCTGGTTTTGCCTTGTCACAGGGAAAAGAATATTGGGTAAATGGTCTTTGTACGATCAATTCACTTGTCCCCCGTCTGAAAGCCCTTAAAACTTGGCTTTCTTTGTGTGCATGATGACATTTGAACAAGGTATGTGAATGTTTTATAATCAAGAGAGGTCTTAAAGATAGTGAAGGATCCATAAGGGCAAAGGTTTCCTCAGAGAGGAAGCCTCTGATGTGAAAATCCAATGGTTGAATGAAAACCCAAACTTTCTTAAAACATGTACAAACTCTGAATCCTTTTGGATTCAAAGAAAGAAAGAAAGAAAAAACCCTGAACACACTGGCAGTCTAAGACCTCCGGTGTTCTTTCTGTGGACTTTTGGTTCCTTCCAATAGCTTTCTGTTTTCTTCTGTTAGGCGTAGTTATTCCTGTGACTCATGAGATCTGCAAGCTTGCTGCAAAAATCACAGTAGGTTCCCAGATATCTCCCCTCCCCAAGTAAATGTACCAGGTTCATAGCCAGGGGCATCTCTCTCTTGATCTGGTTTCAGAACCCATGAATCGTGGGCCAAAATCTCCTCTTAATCTCTGCATGAGAGCAATGGGGCGGCTGTGGCAGATTCAAGCTGCCCCGTACCAAATTCTCATGGACCACTTTTCGTGTTCCTAGGGAATGGTGAAGTACCAGCAATAGCATAACGTTTCCTCAATCCCTGATATAATGAAAGGTAGTTGCTCAGATTTAGTAACACTGGTGGTATTTTTTCGTGTTCTTCCATTCAAGCATCATGTTCTTTGCAACTCTGCATCTGAGCCACTAGTTAGTCTTGTCAATGTTTTCTTCTAAGATTAAAGTGGTCAAATTCTCCTACATGTGGACCATCAACAACTTCAGTTTTTGCCGGGAGGAAATGGGCGAGGTCATCAAAAGTTCAACCTTTTCATCGGGAGCTAACGATAAATTGAAATGGTAGGTAAAGATAAATTGAAATGGTAGGTAAGGACTGTTACGAGAAATGTTCCGCTGTAATGTGCAGTGGTGAATAGCAAGACAAAGCGTGTGGTGTTAAATGTGGGATCAAAACCCAAGCTTGGTTATAGAGTCAGTGAGAGGCTCCAGACAGGTAACTTGCTTGGCCTTAACACTGTTCTCTGTAAAATGGAGCAATAATGATCTAACTTGCTGATTCGTCACAAGGATGAGAACTTCTGAGCTTTATGGTAAGCTGAAGATCTCATTTGACCAGTATGCTTTAGGGCAGCATCCCAGAAGTCTCCCATAATGTGCCTACGAAATTTCATAGGATATGTTGGAAGGAGGAGCAAAATACCATCTTGTCTAAATGGCCTGAAGCAGTACAGGGCCTTTGACCCAGCAATCCAGGCCACAGACACACCGCAAGAACAGATGGCTCAAACAAATGAAGACAGCCACATTTATAGAGGAATGAGGAGAAATCAAGGGTCTCTGGTCTGTCTGCACTGTGAGAAAATTCTGTCCTGAATCCCCAAATATGTGATCAGTTATAAGTATGCATAAAGCTGCCCCATACCAAAGGACCCCAAGGCAAAGCAGATCAATATTTTGTCTATTTTGGGGCATTAGGGACAACTCAGACTGATGTGTGGAGGTGGGAACTGGGGAAGAGAGAGACAAAAAAATGCTCTAATTCCACTCGTTTTGTTTTGGCATCTGTACTGGGTAGCCATTGTAAGTTATGGGCCTACTTTCCTCTGCCCTGTAAGTCTTTGTTCCCCCCCATGTACAACCAATCTATATGGAGACTTGGCTTTTGCCAGCTGTTTGGGTTCACTGGCTAGGTATGCATGATTGTAAGGTGGGGTAGAGAAGAAAACAAGTGAAGTTGCCTTATACTGAACCAGACCATTGGTCCATTGAGGTCAGTATTGTCTACTCAGACTGGCAGCAGCTCTCCAGGGTCTCAGGAAGAGGTCTTTCCTATCACCTACTCCCTGTTCCTTTTTTTCTAACTAGAGGTGCCAGGGATTGAACCTGGGACCTTCTGCATGCCAAGCAGAAGCTCTTCCACTGAGCCACAGCCCTTCCCCCTTCATTGGAGATGAAGCATGTTTTTGTGCTGTTGCAGGTGTTTGCGTGTGAACCCAAAGGGCTTGGACGAAGAGAGTAAAGATTACCTTTCGCTCTACCTGTTGTTGGTCAGCTGTCCAAAGAGTGAAGTCAGAGCCAAATTCAAGTTCTCCATCTTGAATGCAAAAGGGGAGGAAACGAAAGCAATGGGTATGCAGAGGTGGTGTTGGGTGGTACTTTGTGTTTTTGATCGGCTAATTTTTTTGAGGGGGGGGAAGTCATCCTATCCTGTATGTTTTCAGAGAGCCAGCGAGCCTATCGGTTTGTGCAAGGCAAAGACTGGGGCTTCAAGAAGTTTATTAGGAGAGATTTTCTCTTGGATGAGGCCAACGGACTCCTTCCAGATGATAAGCTCACTCTCTTCTGTGAGGTAAGGAGGGAAATGTTGCAGAATCTTTCAGTTATCTACACCGGGGGCTGGGGGGGGGGCTGGGAAGCAAACACATCTTCCTAAATATACTTGGATTCTCCTTTCTAAAGATTCCTGCCCTCTAAGCTCCTTCTATGGCTCCAATCCTTTGTTCATCATTTATGTTGCCTTTAACCTGCCTTTCTCCAGAGAGCCCGGGGTCCAGTATACATGGTTCTTCCCTCCTCCATTTTATCAACACAACAACAATGTTGGGTAGCTTCAGCAGAATACATGTGGCTTCGTGTGGGTGGAGATGTGAACCCAGGCCTGCCAAATCCTCGTCTGGCACACTAAACCACCCTACCACACTGTTTTTGTTGTTTCAAATCTCTCTCCTGCTGTTGGGTTGGATCCAGACTAAATTTCCATTTAACCAGAGGAGAGTTTTTCCTGTCTCTACCCTCCCACTGAGCTCTGCATCATGCTGCAATAGGAGACAAGGAATCCTGAGGCTGACATGGTGGGGAGGTCTGTAGGCAGGAAGGGGGAATGGGAGGGAACTTGCGAAATTTAGCCTGGATCTAACCAGTGTTCCCACTATTTCCCCCCCCTTACTGAGCAGAGCAGTTCACGTCCTGAGCAGAATGTAACTGCTGCAATCTTAATGTGGGCACTGGGCGGTGCAAGACCCTGCGCGGCTCCAGGTTGCTGCTGAGCGGGGCTTCCAGTGTTAATGAGTGGCCGCTCGTGCGCACAACTTAGAGGGAACATTGGATCCAACCCAACATGTGATGGAGGTAGGCAGGCAAAATTTGCTCCATTTGCCTGTGTTCAGAGTCAGAAAGGAATTTGGCTAGTGAGCCTGAGGGTTCTATTGTATACCTTCCCCTCTCTCCCCCAAGAGGGTCTGGGATTGGCTCACTTTCATGAGTTGTCCAGAGTTTATTGCTGTAAGTAGCGTTTCCCCCCTCTTTTGCTACCACACTTTCTTGTGGCACACTATGAACAATGGCCAGTGGAGAAGCTGGTGGTTGGGTCAGCCCAGCTTTGCTAATCTGGTTAGACAAGGTGGTCTTTCTGCTACCCCAGTAACACTAAGTGATCCTTCAGGACCCCTCTTGAAGTAGAAGGGGTCTTCAAAGGCATTTGTTGGAGGGGAAAGACTGTGAACCTGGGAAGGTTCAGGAAACCCAAAGTTGTGCACAGAAATGAAAAACTCACACCGGCTTTTGCTGATGTTGAGAGGTTTTCCTACCATTTGGGCAGGTGTGCCAGATGCTCAGCTAACTTATTTCTCCTCCTCTGTTGGCCACAGGTGCCTGCAGCTGTGCTTCAACTTAGCAGGAATAGATGGTGTATGGCTTCTTTCTTGTTTTGTTTTGGAGGTTGTTGTGTTTTTTTTGCTCTGCAGATGCTCTCTGAGGACTCTGTAACATTTGGTGAACTGAAAGACTATTGCGGGGGTTACTGTTTCCTTTCAAACCTGAATAATCACAGGGGAACAGTGTTTTATGCTGGTCTCTTTCAAGAAAATTTCCCTTCTGTTCTTCTGTAGCTCCTCCCCTCCCCCTGTCAACCTGCTTCAGTAGCACAGGCTTGGTTGGTGGTCAGGTTCAGAGCTGATCATGTCGAGCAGTCACCCTTCTATGGGACTGCCTGCAAAGCTGTGTTGGGATCCCTGAGGTGTATGTTACAAGGGTGGGCGTAGCTGCTGCCTGGGCTCTTGGTATGCGGAGATTGCACTGCGGTATCAGACACAGATTCCTGAGGATCTTAGTTTTGATTTAATACCTTACCAAGACAGGATTTTGTTTTTAAGCCCTTAACAACAGCAAAGATACTGGCCGTGATCCCTCTTTAGTTGTTTAAACACACGCTTAATTTTTTCTGTTGAAATCGTTGAGTCAAGAGTACTTAACGTTAGCTGAGTCATGCTCCAGGCTTTTAGATAAATAGATATGAGCAATGGCTGGCATAGTTCCCAAAAGCCAGCAGCTTGCTGAACGGGCCATGTAGACTTGCAGGGAAACTCATCAGAGAGGACTTGGAACCCTAGTTTGTGCTGGATTGTGTATAGGGATAGCCCCGTAGCAGGATTTGTCGCCTTCTGGCAAAGATTTTTCCCCCCTGAAGAGTTAAATGGCAGGAAGTCTTTTAGTTCCTCCTAGCCAGGGTGATGATGTTGAGGGCTTGCAACAGACGGCAGAGTCTTCCTTCATGCCCTGCATGCAAATTTCTGATGGAGTCATAATGGTTGACCAGTGGTGTAGCCACATGTGCTGTGCACTTGCCTCTTCTGTTTCTTCTCTGTTGTATTCCTTTTAATAAGTTTACTCCTCCATTCTTGAGGGCCAGAGTTGGCACCCCTGGTGGTGGAAAGTGCCATCAGGTTGCAGTTGACTTATATCAATCCGGTAGGGTTTTAAGGCAAGAGATCAACAAAGGTGGTTTGCCATTGCCTTCCTCTGCTAGCAACCCTGGACTCCCTTGGTTGTCTCCTGTCCAACTAACTTGGGTTGACCTGCTTTACTTCTAAGATCTGACGAGCTTGGGCCATCCAGTTGACTCTTCGTAGGTTTGCATTGGGCAGTTTCAGGTTGATTTCAGAGCCGTTTCTGATTCGGAATAGGTTTCATTTCCATGCCACTTTGACCATTGCTTGACGCTTTTTCTCACTGAACAGCCCCTGGAGTGAAAAGGACAAGGAATTGTCATGCCCTTTACTATTCAAATGCTGCATTGAAATGGGCCTGAAGAGCCTTCTGGGTAAAAAGCTCCCTTCTGAATAGCCCTTTGCTTCATGTAGGAAGGTTGAAAATCTGCTTCCTAGTCTTTAAAAGAGGCTTGTTCTAAGCATGTGAGCTCCTACACCAACTAAATTGGATCTTCACTTTGGTTCTGCTTGTGCGGAGGCTTCTGTCCACAACCAGGCTCAGAAAAGAATGTGTTTAATGGCACTGGGTGAATACAATGGGCCACAGAGGGTAACTTACCAAAGTGTGTCATCACTTAGCAGGGGGTATGCCGTACCCTGCGTAAAAAAGAGAACTGTACCAAACATCCACACCTGATCAAAAACCTGGGGAGTCAAAAGATTGGATTCCCTGGTCTGTATATGCCCACTTGATAAATGGCCATTGACTGCCCACTATAAGGTTTTTGCCTTTTTCTGGGATTTGTGGCTTAATAAATGTGCTTGTGCCATCACAGGCTATGTGGCAATCAGTAAGGACAGATGCCCTGTAATTGTCTCGTGGCACACATTGGGTCATCTGCATTGTGTTGGCTGATCTGTAGGGGTTGGATGGCCTTTTGTTGGAGGTCAGCAGCACAGACTTCTCCGGACTGGGGTGGAACCTAGAAACCCACATCGGAAGAATCTGCTCTGCTGTATTTTAGGTCTGATTTAAAATGACATAACTGTGTTACGTTGCATGCGCCCACTGTCATGTGGAGATCGGGCCACAGCACCTGCCATCCTGGTGTGTGTGTAAAATTAGCACGCTAGTGCAGTGCTTTCCCACATTACATGTCTTTGGTAGGTGCTGCGGGTCAGATTTGAATGAGGTACGAGAAATGTGTCGTGTCCCATGAATAAGCTCTTCCTGCCCTGGCAGCATCATACTTAAATCAGACCGTATTATTTGCAGAGGGGAAAAAACATACTCTACTGCCTCAGAAGGACTCTGGGTGGGGTTTTTTTTGGTGGTGGTGGTGGCTGGCTTGTGTTTTGTTGTCTTTACTGCCATGCCTCTTGTAGGCTTTCCCCTCGTGGAACAGCCTGCCTGAGGAGGTCAAGAAGAAGAAGAAGAAGAAGAAGAAGAAGAGATTGGATTTATACCCCGCCCTTCACTTGGAGTCTCAGAGCGGCTTACAAACTCCTTTCCCTTCCCCTCCCCACAACAGACACCCTGTGAGGTGGGTGGGGCTGAGAGAGCTCTGGCAGAAACTGCTCTTTTTCAAGGACAACTGTGCCAGAGCTTGTGACTGACCCAAGGTCACATCAGCAGGTGCAAATGGAGGAGTGGGGAATCGAACCCGGGTCTCCCAGATTAGAGTCCGCACACTTAACCCCTACACCAAGCCTTCTTCTCTTCTGTCATTCAACGAGCAAAACGTAAATGTTCAAGAGGGCATTTTTATAATGGGATCAGAACTGCAATGCAATGGGACAATCCAGGAGGGTCCTTTCTTAATGGAATAAGATTGCAGTTTGTTGTATTGCCTTGCTTTTACTGCATTGTCTTGTCCCTTCGTAAGCCAGTCTTGGCGTTCTTTTTGGCATGTTATGTTTTCTGTGTGCTGCTCCCTAATTTCTGTCATTCTAGTCCTATTTGCATTTTTTTAAAAAATAACCCGTGCTGTCAAAGTGAGCAGCTTTCCACGCTTTGTTTTACTGTTTGTGTCCCAGTGGAAAAGGCGGGCTACAGATGAACTAAGTATGAAACAGAGACGCTGACCCCTCTCTTGCTTCCTTGCAGGTGAGTGTAGTGCAAGACTCTGTCAATATCTCCGGCCAGAACTCCATGAACATGGTGAAGGTACCTGAATGCCGCTTGGCTGATGAGTTGGGAGGCCTCTGGGAAAACTCTCGCTTCACAGACTGCTGCCTGTGTGTGGCAGGCCAGGAGTTCCAGGCTCACAAAGCCATATTAGCAGGTCGGTATCGACACGGGCAGGAGGATTAGCTGGATGGCGGATGGACAGATCAGTGGCAAGCCCCAAGTGCCTTGATGCATCTTTTGCAGGTTGCCTCTTTGTTCAGAAAGAGGGCTCCGGATAACATTTTTGTAAAAGAGGGGGGGGGGGGGGGGGGAGGGAGAGACACAGCTGAGTTGTGCCTCAGGAAACGTTACACAAATAGTTAAGCGTATACCACAAAAAAAGATTCACAGAATTTAAAATCTGCTTCATCGGGGTCTTTCTAAGACATTAATATGCACACTTTGTGCTGCAGGGTTCTGTAGGCTACCAGATTCAGCTTTCTGTGAAACGTAGCTTTCATTTTAATTTTATTTTTTAATGGCAAGTTTCCGGCTAGGATGGCTGTGAAGATATACTGGAACAAATGCAGGCAATGTCTGATGGAAGAGGCCAACTAAGATTTCTGGCTGTGTTAGGAGGTGCAGATTTCAGGGATTTCCTAGGAGTAGCAAAGCCAAAGAAAATTGTGCAAGAGTGTACATTTTGCTCACTGTTTGCATAGGAATACTTTTAGCAGGAGTGAGCCTTTCTTGGCATAGCCTTTCACTGTTTGGTTAGCTTGAAGTTCACACATCCCTGCATGGTGATTTGCATACAGGGTTTACTGTCATGGCTTCCTAATGAATAACCCTTCAGAGCTGTAGTGGAAAGAGGTGGACGATAACTAGTTGAGAGAACACACAATGTAACTACGACTCCCACAGTCCCTTGCATTCAGGTTGTAACAGGATAGGAAAGCCAATGACACGTCGTAAAAAACAATTTTTGCCTGGGTTGGCTTCTGCTGTGTGTGTATATGTCCTTAGAAAGGTGTCTGTTGGCTTTCTCTCCTGAACATCCTACTTGCTTAGTTTTGGCTTGTCCCTTTTACATTGGAGGACGTGTTGTATATGGAGGTACGGATTGTATGCCTCAAATCCTTCTCCAGCAAGGAGGGTTACCATTTCAGCTTTTAATTGCATTTGTGTCTTTTCTCCCTCCCCAATTCTCCCTTCCCAATTCCCCAATCCCACCCTTGGCCACAGCACGTTCTCCGGTTTTTAGTGCTATGTTTGAACACGAGATGGAGGAAAGTAAAAAGGTAAGCAAGTATTTTTTAAAAGTGGCTTTCTGTAAGCAGGTATTTTTAAAAAGTGGCTTTCTACTCATGAGGAGTAACTCGGTATCGATCCACAGACTTGGGAGATGCTTGAGGAGGTGAAATGATTCTCCATTTGACCCAGCAGACGACTCTTAAAGTCTTGCAGGCTTCTGACCTCCAACCACAGAGGTCTTCCTTGAGCAGGAGCAGAAACAGAATACATTTTTGTTGCATATCTGGGCAGATAAAGCGGTTTTCTCTGGGAACACAAAAGGAGAGACTGCAGCAAAGTGACTGCAGCTCAGACAGTTAGGTCTTGACCGGAGGTACAGCTGGGGAAATGACACAGCCCCTGAAAATATAATCCTGCCGCAGTGGGGCATTGTGGCTTTCTTTTCTTGCATTTCATGAAATCAGAGCTAAGAACATAAGAGTCCTGTTGGGTCGCATCAAGGGTCTGCCTCGTCCAGCACGTTCTGTTTCACACAGAGGCCAAACAGTTGTCCTGGAAAACCAGAAAATGGAGCATGAATCCAAGGCCATTCCCTTGATGTTGCCTCCTAGTACTTGGATTCAGAAAGTTAAGTCTTCTGAGTATAAAAGTTCCATTTAATCATCTTGGCTAGTAGGCACTGATGGGCCTGTCTTCCATGAATCTCTTTAGTCCCCTTTTAAAGCCGTCTGTGCTTGTGGCCATCACTGTGGCAGCAAATTTCACTGTTTAATTACTCATCGACTAAAAGATGCAGAGTGCGCAGGACGTCTGTCCTGCGATACAGCTCTGTGTAGTTGTGATGCTTCCTAGTTGTCATCTTTGGTCCAATAGATGCAGGCTTGGTGTGAAGGTAAGAGAGAAAGATATATATCCTAGCCTATCCCAAACAGCCAAGATTGGGCTGGAAAGAAGAAACCCCCGCAAGGCAGTAACTAGGCAGGAACCTGCACATTAGAAAAAGCTGATGATTAATTGGGAATGCACCCTAGAGGGAGTTAAGAGAGACTGCTGGTTTGCCAGCATTTCACAGTTGTGCTATTTAAGAGGATGATCGTGTAGTAGCAAGTGCCAATTTCTTCTGTCGCTCTCTGAGATGGCATAAGGGCAAGCTGAAAGAGAGAAGATGCAACGCCTCTCTCTCCTAGCTGGGAAGGGCTGATGAAGCTGAAACTGTTCTGTGCTTTCTGCACATTTTTTACTCTTTGTTCCCTCCAAAGAGTTCTCCAGGGGCAGAGAGGGGCCGTTGGGTCTGTTTGAGCATCAGAACATAACCCTTTCTCTCCCCCCCCCCTGCCCCCTTTTTCCCCCCCCCCCCCCCAATGCAGAATCGAGTCGAAATCAATGATGTGGAGCCAGAAGTTTTTAAAGAAATGATGTGCTTCATTTATACGGGGAAGGCACCCAACCTTGACAAAATGGCGGACGATTTACTTGCAGCTGCTGACAAGGTAAGTGGGCTCCTTGGCAGATCAGCCCGTAGACTTTTAAATTTGCTTTCATTTTAAAAGAACTTTGGACTAAACCAGCTGGGAAACTTTCAGTGAACAGACTGTAATCTGTATTTTTGCATATTGTATGAGAAAGCTAGGCTTTGATTTTCACCTTCTTCTGTACGTTTCAATCGGTGACATGGTCAAATTCATTCCTTGTTCTTTGGACTCATCTTAAGAGGTTTTTCAATGCTTGCTCCCTAGCCAAGTTGTTTGAGGACTACACTTTCCCAGCCAAGTAGCTTGGAAAGGTAGTATTCATCCCCACCATTAAGACATTGACAGGGAAAAACAGTTTGCAGAGATGGCAAAGTCTGCAAGAATTGCTTGCTGCTTCCTTATCTGGAAGCTTTGAGAATTCTGGGGAGACCCCATTTCTGAAAGAGGTCACTGTTGGTTCTTGGAAGCAACACACATGCCTCTCTCTCCTTCTCAGTTCTTTGAACCAGCACGGCCTTACAAGCATAATGGTGCCCTTCTCTTGTGAGGTGACAGGCAGCCTTATTGAAAGGCCCCTGGGGTGACCTCAGCACCTCCCGTGGGTCATTTTCCCTGCATTTGAATACAGAGTGGGCCAAAGGTAAGCAGGAGTGGGATGTCAGTCCTTTGGAAGTCTATTACTTTGGTTCCTGAGCATATCTCTAGATTTAGAACTTAAGATTTGAGTTGCTTGGAGCCAGGAGCTCGGGCAAATAAAGCAGGGCTGAACAGGGTGGACAAAGAGAACTTGACTTTTAGGAGTTAGAAAGAATTTTCCCAGCCCCGGCCAAAGATAACAGCCAGATTAGCGGAAAAAATAGTCTTCCACAGGGGAGAAGCAGAAGTGTGGGGCCAGTTTATCTCGGCTCGGCTGAGACACCTGCGCAGAGTGACATCTCCCCCCCCCCCCCCCCCCCCCCACCTGCCACACAGCAGCGGGAGGAGGAAGGCAACCTATGCACTTACCCGCACAGCTTCAGAGGGGCAGTGTTCCGCCCCCCCCCCTTTTTGCAGCCAAAGCCTGTAAAGTCTGGGAAATGGGAGAACTTGGCAGGGAGAACCCTGCTTTGCCGAGTGTGGAGCAATTTCCCCTCAGCTTGCCTGGAGCGCAGAGTGACACCTCCCCTCATCCGGCACCTAGCAGCAGAAGGGAGAAGTCAACCTACGCGCCACCTGGATGGCTTCAGAGGAGCACTCTTCCAGAGCTCCCTCTGTTTTTTTGTGGCCAAAGCCTGCAGCCATGCCACTGGCAGTTCTGTAAGGGCAATGTCAGAAGGGTGTTGCCCTCTGGCATGGCCCTCAGGCATGGACTGAGGGTCGGCCTGGGCAGGAAATACTGTTTTTTGCTTTTTTCTTAATTTCTGTAAGATAGTGGTTAGTCCCTTTTTTCTATTGAGAAGCAGTAGAGCCCCATAAGAGAAGGAAAATATTCCATAAATTACACAAAGAAAGGGCAGATACCATTTTTATACAAGAAACGCATATTAAAAGCTTCACAGTTACTATTAATAGAGCAGCCAAAACTAGAGAAACTGTATGTAGCAACTAAGGCAAATATTTTATGGTTAAAACTCTGGAAGAAGCTGAACAAGTAGCAAATATCAATTTTGATAATTAAGCGCTGGTTATTGAAATTATAGAAATTTTGTCGTGTTCTTGTGCACTAATTAATAAAATGTTAAACTGGATAATCTAAACTGGATAATCTAAATTTAATTTCTGTTAATGTAAATGGTTTAAATGAGCCCCATAAGAAAAGGAAAATATTTCATAAATTACACAAAGAAAGGATGGATATCATTTTATACATGAAAACATGTATTGAGGCTTCCTAGTTATCATTAATAGAGCATCCAGAATTAAGGAACTACGTGTTCCAGCTAATAGCAAATAAAATAAAGGTGTAGCTGTATATACATATATCCAAAGTAATTAATGTAGTCTTTGGTAACAGTGCTAGATTTTTGTTGCTAAAAGGACAGATATACCAACAATTAATCACCCTTGGGAACATTTATGCTTCAAACTGCAATCAAAGGGCATTTTATAAATCCTTGCAAGAAGAATTCATTAAATTTGCAGAGGGTGAAATTATCATTGCAGGAGAATTCAGCTGTGTCATGAATAATGAGTTAGATCAACTAAGAAATCAGATACCCCTACTCTGCCTTACATGTTTAATAAGGTGTTCAAGATATTTAAACTAATAGATGCATGAAGATTACATAATTTTGGGGAAGGAGACTATACCCATTATTCTGCTTGACAGAGATTGTACTCAAGAGTAGACTCTTTTCTTTTATCCCCTTTAATGGCAAAATCTGTGTCAAATGTGAAAATAGAGACAAACACTTATGCTGACCATGCACCATTTAATTTAGAGCTTTATTCTAAGAGAGAAACTTCATGTTCTTGGGCAGCAGGACAACAACCTGCTAAGTATTCAAGAAATTAAAAGCAAATTTGAAACACACTGCAATAATTTTTAAATTCTTTTTACTTTTACTTAAAAAAAAACTTTTTACTTAAACAATCATTAAATGGAAATCTAACAAAGCCTTTTTTAGGGGCATTAGTATTAGCACTAGTATTAGTATTGGAGCTGCGGTGGCTCAAGTGGTTAAGACACTGAACTGCAGGCTGTGGAAGGTTGGTAGTTCAGCAGTTCGAGACCCAGGTGCCGCATGATGGAGTGACGGGCCTTGGTGGCTCAGAGGTTAAGACGCTGAGCTGCAGGCTGGAAGGTCTGTAGGTTGGCAGTTCGAGACCTGAGTGCCGCATGACGGAGTGAGCTCCCATCTCTGTTCCCAGCTCCTGCCAACCTAGCAGTTTGAAAGCAAGAAATTGCAAGTAGATAAATAGGGACCACTTCGGTGGGAAGGTAACAGCGTTCCGTGTGCCTTGGTGTTTAGTCATGCTGGCCACATGACCACGGAAACGTCTTCGGACAGCGCTGGCTCTTCGGCTTTGAAACGGAGATGAGCACCGCAACCCTAGAGTCGGATTCGACTGGCTTTCGAGCAAGGGAACCTTTACCTTTTAGTATTAGCACTAGAGTTCATTTGAAGAAGAAATGTGAGGCTGAATGTTTGGAAAGACTAGGCAAGATCAAGAAATTAGAAATGGAGCATCAAAAAGACCAAAATAACAAGACCCGTCAGAAATAGCCATAGAACAATATTTAAGATGCCTTTGAAGACCTTCCTGTGGTTTAATAGGCACTTAAAAAACAGAATCTATAATAAGGAAAACTGGATTATAAATAGTCTTTTGCAGATTTGGGATAGATATAAGTAAATAACTATCACCTGACATCATGCCATTGGCATCTCTGCAGTAAGAGATGACTTGTGAAAATTTAAACTTAATTCCATGGTTAAATGCAGTTCTTATACACACACACACACACACACACACACAGAATGATGTAATAGAAATACATATAATGATTATAGGCAGTAATATTATAGCCTTCCAAGAACTTTATCGAATAAGCAATGGTAATATTAATGGTTTGAATATTTGCAGCTCATGAGCTTTTTGACCAGGTATATATGCATACAGACCCAGGTGTAGCAATAGCTCTGACATCGCTAATCTACTTGATTTTGCAAGCTAACCAAAAATCAAGCACTTTTCAACTGTCACTGAACTCTGCTTCAAGTTACTCTCATCTTCGAAAGCTAGTTGAAACAGTTACAGAAAAGTTAGATTAATTGCTTTTTAGTAGAGGTTAAAAGTTGATATTGGCCTTCTTATCTTGCTATATCAAATGTAATTCATATGCACATTTGCATTTATGTTGATTATCTCATATTTAGTTATGAACCAGTCAGTTACCTGGATAGTAATCACATAGTTATGATAAAACAGACTTAGAGAAAGATTGATATTTTTCTATAAACATGTACTTCTGTAACAAGCAAATCAGATTTTTGTGGATGGAAATTTCAGAAGAAGAATAGATGAGACAAGAGGTGGGACCCGTGATACTCACGGGGGGGGGGGGGGAGGTATTCCCTGCGGCTCCCGGGTGGCTTGCTAGGCGACCACTGAAGCAGCAGGAGCTCCACATGGAGGAGGTGGCCGCATGTGAGCCCAGCGGGGTTCTCCCCCCCCCTGCTGACAGCAGCAACGGCCGCGGCTCCCAGCCGCCAGCCCGCCAAGGGTTCTCCCCCCCCCATGGCCGCTGCCACTGACAGCAGCAACAGCGGCGAGCCCTGCAGGCTTCCAGCCGCCTGCCCGCCAGGCTTCTCCCCCCTCTCCCAGCAGCAACAGTGGCGAGCCCTGCACGGCTCCCCGCCGCTGGGCCCGCCCGGCTTCTCCCCCTCCGCCACTGCAACGGCCATGGCTCCCAGCTGCCGGCTGCCAAGGCTTCGCCGCCGCTGTTGCCAGCAGCAACGGCTGCAAGCCCTGTGTGGATCTGCCACAGTTTGCAGTGGTAAGTGCGCATGTGCAGGAGACTTTTTTACTTTTTTGGGGGGTTAAATATCCCCCGTATAGTTTTTAAAACTTTTCAGCTTTTTCTGCACACCTGGAGATTACCCTAAATGTGCAGGAAAATCTCTTTGTCCCCTAGGTGCCCCCAATGTGCAGATTTAGATATCCGCACACAGAGGGCGCCTTGCCTATTAGTATATAGATTTCTTGCTGTGTAACTTGGGCTTTTTAATGAGACAAAAAGCTGAAATCTAATTTGCTTTTAAAAGGATTCCTTGCTATTATATGATTAAGTACGGCACTTTGATAATTTTATAGGGTTTTTTCATACCCCACCCCCCTCAGTAAAAAGAATAAGCTATCTCAATAAAGAATAAAAGTTGTTACAGGTGGTTTGCGGATTACATTTCAAAGAACCAAACTCACCCCCTTACCCTTTCGTATTATCAGAATTAAAATTGTTAATCACCCTTTAATACATAGATCCTGGAATATTCTGCTACTAAACATTTTTGAACAGGCAAAGCCATTAAAAGTGTTCAGTTCAGGTGCTCTAGTTGGATGCAGGGGGGAATCTCTCGTTACACAGGTATAAGAAGCATAACAAAATTTGTGGAGACCATAAGCAAAAACCAGGAGAAGATATTTTCTAAAGTGCAAGTGATTTTACATCAATCAGTTAAGATTTCTAAAAACTCTGTTGTATAGACCGTAAGCAAAAACCAGGAGAAGATATTTTCTAAAGTGCAAGTGATTTTACATCAATCAGTTAAGATTTCTAAAAACTCTTTTCGGTCCAAGTGGGGAAAGGTGTTAGATTATGAAATTTATAAAGAAAAGTGGAAATATATTTTTACCTATGGTTTAACCTTTTCCATCTTCCTTGGACTGAGAGAAAATTCTATAAAAACATTGTACCAGTGGCTCTTGTCACCACATAAAATAGATAAATTCTACTGAAATGTACGTGGTACAAGTTGGTCTTTATGTTGCAGAGCACAAACCTGTTGGTCCTCTGTTGTAGGCTATTTAAGAAAAGGCTTTGTTATAGATTTCCCTTTTCCAGTAGAGGTTATGTTACTAATTTATACTGTCACTTTATGTACAAAAAGGTATGTTGTCATAATTTTTTTATTTTGCCAAAAATGTTTTTTTTTAAGCAAAAGCATGTAAAATGAGTCTGCCTTCGCTGAAATATTTGTTCGCAGAAAATGGCATTATGTGAAACTAAAAATGGAGATAACTAGGACAAGTGCAAAATTGGGATGGGTAGGCCAGGTTGTCTTTCTACTGCCAGCTTTTTTTTTTTTTAAAGGCGCTGACAGGCAGCTGTGACTAGGTAACGGAATTATTTCTTTGAGAACAATGGCATATCCTGACTAGAGAGATAACTGAGAATACTTGATAGGAATACGGTGGATTTTTGAAGGACATTTGGACACTTCTGATATCTGAATATGCCCTGACCTGGATAACTCAGGCTTACCTATCTCGTCAGATCTCAGAAGCTAAGCGGGGTTGGTCCTGGCTAGTATTTGGATGAGAGACCTCCAAGGAATTCCAGGGTCTTGACACAGAGGCAGCCAATGGCAAGCCACCTCTGGATGTCTCTTTGCCTTGAAGCACAGTGGGGTCACCATAAGTCAGCTATGACTCGATGACACTTTCCGCCCACCAGTCTCTGAATGCAGATAGCCTAAATCCCTGGTAAACCTACTAGCACTTTTCTTATATTATTATGGTGGTAGAGGACTTAAAAAAAATGAGCATAGCAGACAACAGGATTTATTCCTAAGTAGACTTTGATGTATACTTAAATTGACACAGTAATAATAATAATAATTTTTTAAAAGTCTTCAATGGGGAAGTAAAGTGACAGTGCATTTCTGGTGAACCAATGCACCAGCAGCGGGTTTCTATATTTGCTAGAAGGAATTTGCCACCGTGCAAGTTGTATCGCGTCTCCCCTCTGCACCTTCCTCTGACACAGTGCCTCTTTCTGCCTTCCAGCCATTCACTAGGTGCTCAGTGAGCTTGTCCCCGTGTACAACAAGAGGCAGTGAGAACCTCTAGATCTGTTTCTAGTGGGAGGCAATTTATGAATTCCTCTCTAATGCCGAACTGTTTGTAGGACAGCAAGGTTGAAGGAGGCTTTCACTGTTTGGGTTTTGTGGCTTTTTATGTAGCTCTTTCCTCTTTAAACATACCCCGGCGTCTTTTTAAAAACAGAAAGCGAAACCTTTTATGGTAGCACATCAGACCTCTTAATATTTGCCCAGGAGGCCTCAGAACAGCTTGTTCTGTCTTCCTGCAGTCTCTTGGGGGAAAATATGCAATTATACTATAAACAAAACAACAGCACATACCCTCAGCCCTGGAGATCTGCCACTGGGCTGTTGGGCAAGGATGCGATTAGAGGGCTGGGCTTTTTTTCCTACTACAGTGCTATTGAGGACGACGAGGAAAGGATGCCGTTGTGCCTGAAAGATCAGAAGACCTCATTGGTCTTGCGTGCCTAGCCCTCTTAAGTTTCTGCAAAGAGAATAAATGAGTGGGGACCAGATACAAAACATAGTCACTTCATCACCCCACATCAGCATATGAATCATACGCTTGGTCCAACAAGGTCCATATTGCCTTCTCTGATTGGTGGTGGTGCTCTGGGGTCTCAGGTAGAGCTCTTTTCTATCACGCACTATCCGGTCCTTTTCATTGGAGGTACTGGGGATTGGCTCTGGGGCCCTCTACATGCCAAGCAGATGCTCTTCTAGAGAGCCACAGCTCTCCTTTCCTCCACTCCAAACAAGAAATCCCCCCACTTCTCGTTTCCCGATTCTCTCCTTCATAATTTGCTTCCAACTAGAAACAACTAGAAACAGACCTAGAGGTTCTCACTGGTGGAGACAAGACTGATGTGGCATCTAGTGAATGGTCATTCTCTTTTTGTCATTTCTCTTGCTTTTAACTTTTGTTTGTTTTTCTACAAAGCTGGCTTTGCAGAAATCCCTACTACAGGCCTGGGGGGACCCTCCTCGCCCCTTGTAGGTTTTTTAATCTGCACTGAAGGGGACATATTTATCTGTTTGATGCGTGATCATGAGGATTAGCAACTTGCTTATGCTAGGTGAATTTTTTTTTTTGCATAGTTCTGCTTCTGTGATTCAGGCTTGGCAGCATTTTCTTTAGCGTTTTTAGTTGTTTTTTTTAAAAAGAGTGACAGGAAAAACAGAGATTTTGTCAGGTCCTTCCCCCCCAATCCACAAGGACTTGGAGGCTTTCTGTGTTTATTTGTCAGAATATTCAACACTTGTTGTGGAATTCTAACATAGGCCCAGAATATATATCCTACCCCCCCCCCGCATTGCTTTTATGTCAGGCTCTCGAATTTTCTCCTGAAAATTTTTGCTTTGCATATATTTCCTTGGCGTTGTGTTTTGATTACAGTGGGTTTTTTTTTTTTTTTGGAACAGCTTAGACAATAAACTGGAGATTCTATCTGCACAGCAGCCTAATAGATAAAAGGTGGGTGGGTGGGCCATGCTTGTAATAGGTGTGAGATCCAAAATGACGATATATCAGCCACTTGGCTGCAAGAGAACCAACCTCAGCACCCCAGACGGTTTGCAGTCCCCCCCCCCATTCACTCTCAGTCTCTTTGTATGTTCTTGCAGTATGCGCTGGAGCGTTTGAAGGTGATGTGTGAGGATGCTCTGTGTAGCAACCTGTCTGTGGAAAATGCAGCAGAGATTCTCATCCTGGCTGATCTACACAGTGCTGACCAGCTAAAAACTCAGGCAGTCGACTTCATCAACTAGTAAGTAAGGTTTCTTCTCCTCCCCCCCCCCCAGTGTTTGACCACAGAGAGAATGAAATCTGGGAAGGCGAGCCCCTCAGGAACCAAGTCTCCCCTCCCCCAAGTCCCCATTGCATCTCACTTCTTCTAGGTTGTGTCCAAGGTCTTATTTCACTAGTAGAAGTTGGCTGCCAAAAGAAAGACACCACCTCCCCCCTTTTCTGTGCATCTCTGCTCATCCTCACTGGGGAGGAAAACAGGATGGGAAGAAAGAAATGCAAATGCCATCCCCCCCCCCCTGTTTCCCTTTGGGGCAGCAGTCGTGTCCATCCAGACCCCTTCTCTGCTCCTCACACTTGGACGCTTTGGTTCCCATTCCAGTCTTTTACCTTCATGCCGAAGACACACGGCAAAGCTTATTTGGTCATACAGAGCAGCCTGCGTAGTTCATTTGATTGATGTACTGTTTATAGTCCTCCTTTCTCACTGAGACGCCAGGCAGATTGCACAGTGTTAAGTCAATGCAGTCAGTAGGATGAGACATCCAATAAACTATGGAACAGGACCGGGCAGGCAGGCCTGCTGACGGGAAACTGAGATGAGGTACTAAAGTCGAGCCCGAAAGCAGGGGTGTAGCAAGAAGACTACAGGTGTTTTCCTTTGGGGTGCTGAACTTCCAGCTTGCTAACCTTGGGTTTCTTGTTGATGTTCTTCAGCCATGCTTCAGATGTCATGGAGACTTCAGGCTGGAAGTCAATGGTCGTGTCCCACCCTCACCTGGTGGCAGAGGCGTATCGTTCACTGGCCTCCGCGCAGTGCCCCTTTCTGGGACCGCCACGCAAACGGCTGAAGCAGTCCTAAGGCTCGGACCTCGCATCGCACAACCCCGCGTGTGTGTGTTTGTGGTTTTTTTTTTAAAATGGAAATAGCGACAGGAACAGTTGCTTCTCCGACCTTGACAACCAGGTAGACAATGCAACCTGTGGAGCTTTTTACTCTGTTGTGGGGAGGGTGGGACCGGGGGTGGGTGGGATAAACAGACTGCTTTGGGACATGTAGACTTTTAAACAAAAAAGGAAAAAAAAAACAGCACCAAGTAAACTTGGGGGCAAATGGGGGAGGGATGGACTTTGGGTAAAGGGGGGCTGTTCAACCTAATATATCCCTGTTGCTGCGTTGTCTGTGTGTTTCCCTTTGACTTGGCTGAGTAAAGAACTCAAGGGGGTTGGCCAGGTGCCGCCCCGAGACAAGCATCCAAATGATGACATGGAATTTTAAGGAAAACAAAACAAAAAAGAGACAGCCAACTGCCTCTGCATCTGACGGCTGCAGACCAAGAAGCAAGGCGTGCTTGGAGCAAAGATGGCCCTCTCATTGTTTTGGAAACGATTATGTGAGAGAAGGGTGGCGGCAGATACGCCGATGGAATGGAGCTCACGGACGGGAGCATCCCCGGGGATTTTCTGTTGAGAGACTTCCGAGATGGAGAGACTGTCTCCCTGTGCCGAAATTCCTGTGTTTGCCACGCAGCCACGAGGTGACTGTTCTCTCCCAGTAGCACTTGTATACATGACTTGCGGGGGGTGGGGAGAGAGAACTTCTTTCTCTGTCTCTTTCTCTCTAAAAAAAATGGCTACTTTTTAGAGGTGAAGAGGAGGACTGTGTGAGGCCAATACTGCCTGGAAGACGTGGACGGGATGGAGGCAGCCACTAGTGGCATTCAGGAGCTGTTGCGATTTATTCTTGACTTGGAATCAGCTATCCAAGAACAATGGCTACTTGTTTAGATATCGTGGGAATTTTGTTCTTCTGGTATCTCCCCCCCCCTCCCCCCGTTTTAGTTTTGTTTCCTCCTGTGATTCCTTCACACCCTCTGAATTTTCCGTTTCTTTAAAAAAAAAAAAAGAGAGAAATATTATTGTTCATGAACACTGTGTCAAAGGTTTTTCTTTTTTGTCTTGAGTTGGTGAAACGATTCTTAGTGAGTGTTTGTATTAAGTTTGCTGATGTGTAGAAGACCTGACCCTGTTCTGTTTTCAACCCGTTTTCTTTTACAGGAATGACATTCCAAAGTAGCTGGTAAACTTTCTCCCCCCCTCCCCCTCCCCCTTTTCTTTCTTTCTTTCTTTCTTTTTTTAGAAATATAATTACTCTTTTGTACTGTGTGTTCTGTCTTGTTGTCTCCATGGCTTTGTTCTTTAAAGAAAAAAGATCTTTCCCCATTTAGGATTGGGTACTGTATTGGTACTTTTATTGCTGCTGGTGCGATGTTTTTGAAGGCCAGGAATTGTCGCAGCTGTTACCGAGATGCTTCATTTCAGTATCTCAGTAGGAACTGGTTGTGAGAGTTCGTCTCCCTGGAGTTGTCGTTGAGGGAGTGGGCATCTACTTAATTGCTTAGTCTAGCCCACCTGTTCTGCTATATATAACATGCAAAGCGGCATACAAGAAACAATGCAATATATTGTGCAGTACATACAAATACACAACATCAAGAAAAGATCTGTGAACAGCAGCATACATAACTGCCAGCCAGCTAGCAGTCATAAGAACGAACTAACAGGGCTGGAAAAAGACCCCCCCCCCCATTCCAAAAGCCTTCAGGAGCAGACAAGTTTCAACAGAGAGCTTAAGAAGGTCAGGAGGGAAGGGGGGCAGACAGATCTCATACGGCAAAGAATTCCACTGCTTCAGTGCAACAGCCTAGAAGCACAGTCTTGGTCCTCATAACGTGAGCTTGTAAATTGGGATCATCATCATCAGCTGACTTCCAGCCCCCAACAGGTTCATGGGCAGCCTGGACCTGATTCTCCCCCTCTTCTTTCTGCATAAATCGTTTGGCCCAGGAGGCAGAGGGGCCAGACTGTATTTCAGTTGTCCCTGCTTGGCTGGAAAGAAGAGCCCTGGGTGGCATGTCTACCCTAGGGCACCTTCACTCTAGCTTCAAATGTTCAGGGGAAGTTCCCGGAAAGAAGGGCCTAGTATGGAAAGGGGGACCTGATACTGAAACGTGAATTGTGCCCAAGCAACTATCTTCTCTCAGTTTTCCATGAGTCAAGTGAAAGAGCAATAAGTCTGGCAGAAGAGGTGACAAATCCCTAAAGAGAGCCCCCCCCTCCCGTTCCAGTGCTCCTTGTGTTCATCATTCCTGAGGAGCAGAGGTCCTCTTTCTTTCTTTTTTCTCCCTCCTAGCTTTTCCAGGTTGACCTTCTCTTTCTTACCTTTCTTACCAGTCCAGAAATCACATCAGAGCTCCTGGCTGACTTTGTAAAATTCTTGGGGGGGAGGGGGGGAGGATGGGAAAGAGAGGGGTTGAAAGCCCAGGGCTTCTAAATTACACGAGATTCAGATAAATCCCATTTACAGAGGACTTTTAAATACCAAAGTCATGCAATACCTTTTTAAAAAAATTAGGATCGACTCCAAATTACCTGCAAACGTTGTTCGTGTTGCTTTAAGCTGCCAATAGGGAGTCTCAGCAATCAATGGTCCGCTTAACCCCGAACCAGCAGCAGCCGTCCCGAATGTCAGAACAAGGTCTTTCTCAAAGGTCTTTTTAGCGGGACGTCCTGAAAATTGAACAAGCACATGAACGTGTACTGCGGTATTGATTAACAGGAGGGTTCCCTTGTAAATGGAGCTGTCACCCACAGGAGAGTGTTTGGGGGGGGGGGGGGGGAGATAATGCTGGCTTGGATTTGTTCCCTTGGTGTTCAGGCTACACAATGTGCTTGCTGTCAAATCCAATAATAAGCTCTCCTGGCTTGTTTTCTGTTGAAGGGACTACATTGCATCTTTGCAAGAGCAGACTGGGAAAGAATGACCACACGTTAAAAATGTGCAAAGTGTTCTGTGCTGGCTTTATTTCCAAACACCCTTGAGAAATGGGCATTTGCCGGTAGGCAGGAGGCTGGTCGCTGCAGTGTTCAGGTTGGCTAGAACGGTATTGTCTGCCTATCAGTGCTGTTATCAGACCTGGCATGATGGTGTGGTAGGTTCATAAAGCGTCTAATATCACGCTAAGCACTTGTCCCTGCCAGTGGCTTACGGTCAAACAAAACAAGGCACAGTAGGGAATAGGAAGACGGGAATAATTAAAATTGTACAGAAGCTGTTGCTCAGATACTCATGGAGCTGCCTTATACCTAATCAGACCACTGGTCTGTCAAGGTCAGTTTTGTCTACTCTGACCGGCACCGGTTGTTCTCAGAGGTCTTTCCCATCTCGTACTTGACCCATTTAACTAGAGATGCTGGGGACTGAACCTGAAACCTTCTGCAGGCAAAGCAGATGCTCTTCTGCGGAGCCATGTTCCCACCCCTATAAGAATGAACGCGTGCAGTTGACTTCCACTCTAGTCCTGACCCTTTTAACTGGAGAGGCTGGGGATTGAACCTGAGATCTTCTGCATGTCAAGCAGATTCCCTCCTACAGAGCCCTGGCCTCTCCTGTTCCTGACTGCGATATCTGTCTTATTATTTTTTATTATCCTACCCCGCCTCTCCGTACATGGTATTCATAGTTTGCCCACTTCTGTTTCTTCCACCAAGCAGGCCTGTGAGGGAAGTCAGGCTGAGCGACTGACCCAAAGTTATCCAGCAAGCTTCGTGAGATTTGAATCCAACTCCTACATCTTTCAAATGACATACTTAGCAGTCAAGAAAGCAGAAAAGGGAAAGGCCTCTGAGAAGGAAGAGAGGGTTTGAGAAGTGCAACGGCTTGACATAAGTGAGAAAGCGTGGGGGAAAGAAAGGAAGAAAAAATCCAACTTGGGAGTGGGGAAGAGAGATAAATGAGCAAGCGAAGGAGAGATTTGTGTCTTAACAGCACCCTGATGGATTATCTCCTCCCTTATCAACGTGCCTGAGCATCCATGATCAATGAACAGGTCTCGCCTCCGGGAGCCGCCTTGTCTGAGGTAAGAGTGGCAGAGATTCATAGCAGGGAGGGTCTTTTTGTCTGCTTCCCATCGGCTGTAGAACTTATCCCACCCCCGCAACTCTGGAGCCCTCTCTTCAGGTCTTCTGGGGGACAAATGGAAACGGAAGATGATTCCGTGCCACTCCTTTTACTGTGTTATGTTGTCTTTTTTTAAAAACACACACACAACAACCTTAAGATGTTTAAAAATAATTGTCACCTGCTATAGGGATGCAGCATATATGTTAAGTAGATAAATGGGAAGAATAGAAGGGATGAGCAGTGGAGAAAAGGTAAGTGCGGAGAAACAACTTGGATTGGATGCAGGGATGGAACAGGTGACCTTTGCAGTAAATGTGAGAGAGCTGATCTCAAAGCAGGGAAAATACTGAGCCTCAGGGTAACACTGGAGGATGTGGGATTTGATGCAAGAAGACTGATAAAAATCCTCCCAGCTGCTATGAACACTCACAGGTGGTCTTTAGAAAACATTTGTCTGTCTCGGTGCTGGTGGAAAGTGCCATCAAGTCACAGCTAATTTATGGCAACCCCACGGGATTTTCAAGGCGCAAGATGTTCAGAGGTGGTCTGTCATTGCCTGCCTCTGTGTCATGACCCTGGACTTCCTGGGAGGTCCCCCATCCAAATACTCGCCAGGGCCAACCCTGCTTAGCTTCCAGGATCTGATGAGATTGGGCTCGCCTGGCCTATTCAGATCAGTTTGTCTTACCAGTTTGTCCAAGGAGCTCAGGGCAGTATACTTGATTCTCTCTTCCTCTCAACCCCACAACCACCCTGTGAGGTAGGCTTAGACCGAGAGAAAGTGATTGGTCCAGCAAGTATTGTGGCGCTGTGGGAAGCTGACTGAAGTATTCTCCTTGTTTATAAAACATATAAACAAAAATATTGTGCTTGCTAGAAGGCCTATAGACAGCAGTTAGCTTAAACATGGAACCTACAAAGTTGGGTCAGTCTCTCTCTTTTTAAACTAAGTAGTGGGCATCAATACGACAGAAGGATCCGACCGGGTATTCTCTGAGGCAGAGCAGACCTTTTACTTCAACCTGCCCCAGTGGTTCATATATGCAGACCTTCACCCCACCCAAAGCATGAGCCATCCTGTCTTATTTTTGGAATCATTCCTCTGTTCTTTTTTACAGCGCTTCCCTTGTGGGAGACACGAATAAGCCCATCTCCGGGTTTTAAATGGCACGTTGAGTTGGAAGGGGGGGGGGGGAATGAAGAGTTGTTTTGTTCCCCACAAAAGGTTTCCTTGTGTCAGTTGCGTTGCATCTGCGTCTCTAGGTATGGGCGAAGAGGCGGGCTTAATTATCCCGAGGAAGAAGCTGCGTTGTTTACCGAAAGGGTTGCAGGAACTTGTCAAAGGCTCCGTCCCCATTGGGTTTGTGGGAGCAGCTTTATAACTGCTCAGGGAGTCTCTCGCCTCGGCTTCTGCTCGCAGGATGCAGACAGGATTGCAAGAAGTTAAACGGACCTTGACATCACCAGCTCTACTCTGCTTCCCCCCCTTCCCCCCCCTCTCTTCAGGGAGGTGCCTGACTGGAAAGCAAGGCCAGTTTTGGCAATCTCCTTCCCTGGAGAAAGGAGGGCGACACCGGCAGAGGAGGTAATCTGTTCTGTGACCTCCCCCCCTCCCCCCTCGAGGACAGAGTAGGCCCAGGATTCGGCGTCTTCCGTGGTGTCACAAGATTCCCTCAGGCAAACAGACGGATTTGTATTTTAGGTTTAGAGCGTTCTTCTTTTCGATGGATCCAGAAGGGGAAATCCGAGCACAGAAATTAATATAGCAGAGCTCCATGCACCCAAAGGCTTACCACTCTGGGGCAGGGAGTGACCCATGCCCTTCCTACAGTGGAGAATGAATAATTCCCTGCTTTTATTGAACTTTGCATGCCCCAAAAGGTGGTGGTGGTGGGGAAATGCCGTAGCTTCTTGGCACCCCCTGACAGGAGAAGAGCTGCAAAAGAAGCCCCCCCCCCAATATGTTTCAAAGTAGTTTCTTTCTCTTGAAATACAGAGCTGGCTGAAATTTTGAATGTGGGCGAAACTTTTATTTTTATTTTTTCCTTTTGCCACCGATTTGTGCCATTGTTTCGGCTAGGTGCAATGGGGCCAGTGAAGTTATTTGGTGGGTTCCGTTGCTTTTCAGCGAACAGAATGCTG